TAATTGTATCCCTTTGTGGTAAGATATGCAAAATTGAAACCATACAATAACAAAAATTAATATGGTAATATTATGTTATGAGTACATGGAAAGAAATCTGTATCTTGCTTAATATTACAAGGATATCAAATAGATGTTTATATCCACAATGGATATTCTGTAGATATGGATATATGGATACCAAGTGAATGTCTAATAGATATCCACAATGGATACTCTGTGAAGATGGATATATGGATACGAAGTATATGTCTAATAGATATTCACAGTGGATACTCTATGGACATGGATATATGGATACCAAGTGGATATCTAATAGATATCCACAGTGGATACTCTATGGACATGGATATATGGATACCAAGTGAATGTCTAATAGATATGCACAGTGGATACTCTATGGACATGGATATATGGATACCAAGTGGATGTCTAATAGATATCCACAATGGATACTCTATGGACATGGATATATGGATACCAAGTGGATATCTAATAGATATCCACAGTGGATACTCTATGGACATGGATATATGGATACCAAGTGGATATTTAATAGATATCCACAGTGGATACTCTATGGACATGAATATATGGATACGAAGTAGATATCTAATAGATATTCACAGTGGATATTCTATGGACATGGATATATGGATACCAAGAGGATGTCTAATAGATATTAATAGTGGAAATTCTGTGGACATGGATATACGGATATCGAGTGGATATCTAGTAGATATCCATTGTGGATATGGACATAATATGGATACGTAGATATCCATTAGATATCTATTAAATATTTTGTTCCGTGTTGGTATAAAAATCGTTAATTTAGTGACTTGAGAAATGACCAATTACTTTAATTTATAATATTATTAAGCATTTATAAACATTTTAGTCGTCATATTCGATCCGCCATTTTGAATTTCTAGATTTTGACCTCAAATTTGGCTTCAGCAACCAAAAAAACTGAAGTATACAAATTATTGAAAAAATCCGCCCTGTCATTTTTTTGGGGCGGTTTCAGTGCATTTTACTAAATTTTGCTCTGCCACGGAAAGGGTTAAATAAACTCAACTGGTTGTATATAATGGTATCCTATAAGAAGATAAAATATTTATTAAATTTCAAAACGTATATACGTTTCTACTATTCATTATCACTAAAATAATGATGCCGCGAGACGCTATAGAAACTAATTGCTCGTACATTTTTACGACCGCTTATGAATTCCTCTCTGGTGGAGAAACGCTTCGAAGCATTTGTTATTTTTCTCCTTATGTCTTTTTCTCCCCTTTCCTAACACAGAGCGAGAGAGAGAGAGAGTCTCACTCACACAATGGCTGCGTTCAGTAGAACAAAATGGTCAATGAGCGCTTAGTGATTATTGTCTGTGATTAGAACATTCTTTTAGATTCTACATAGACCCAGAAGTATTTACCAATCAGGAGCGAGAATCACTAAGCGCTCACTGATCACTTTGTTCTGCTGAACGCAGCCTTATCTCTGTCCTCTAATGTTATCTTCAGCGCGCCTATAAGGAGGCGCAGTCTATCTATTAGGAGTACAAATAAGTTTCCGCCGTTTGACAAAAGATGGCCCCACCAGAAGGTTATGTTGAAATTGTCAGATGTAAAACGTAATATCGTAAGTTTGGACATCTGGTAACAACATAACCTTGAAGTATTAGTGACTCCGTATCAGCATCACATAATTTTTTTCGTGCGAAAATGTCAAGTTTTGTGCCGAATAAGCGTAATTTGCGGGAACTTTTGATTTACTTCTTTAATTTGAAGAAATTTGCAGCTGAGGCGCATCAATTGTTTGTAGAAGCATATGGTGAGACTGCTTTAAGTGAGAGCAGTTGTCGTAAGTGGTTTCAAAAGTTAAAAAACGGTGAGTTTGACGTGGAAGACAAAGAACGTAGTGGAAGGCCGAAAGTGTACGAAGACACGGAATTGGAAACATTATTGGAGAAAGATTCGTGCCAAACGCAAGAAGAACTTGCACTTACATTAGAAGTGACTCAACAAGCAATTTCACATCGTTTAAAATCGTTGGGAATGATTAAAAAACAAGGAAATTGGGTTCCATATGAACTGAAGCCGAGAGACGTTGAACGCCGATTTTGCACGTGTGAAATGCTGCTTGCTAGGCATAAAAGAAAGGGTTTTTTGCATCGTATAGTCACTGGTGATGAGAAATGGATCCACTACGATAACCCAAAGAAGAGAAAATCATGGGGACCACCTGGCCATGCTTCAACATCGACAGCCAAACCGAATATTCATGGAAAAAAACTCATGCTGTGTATTTGGTGGGATCAGCTTGGTGTCATGTATTATGAGTTGCTCAAACCGAGCGAAACCATTACTGGAGCTCTCTACCGAATACAATTAATGAGATTGAGCCGAGCACTCAAGGAAAAACGCGCCCATTGCTACTCCAAACACGACAAAATTATTCTCCTACATGACAACGCTCGGCCACATGTTGCAAAACCGATCAAAACCTATTTTGAAACACTTAATTGGGAAGTCCTACCCCACCCGCCGTATTCACCACACATTACCCCTTCTGATTATCACTTGTTCCGGTCGATGGCACATGGCCTGTCTAAGCAGCACTTTACATCATATGAAGATACTAAAAATTGGGTCGATTCGTGGATAGCCTCAAAAGATGAAGAGTTCTTCCGACGTGGTATCCAAATGCTGCCAGAAAGATGGGAAAAAGTAGTGGCTTGTGATGGACGATACTTTGAATAAAACGTAATGTACCGTTCTTTCACAATAAATTCCTAATTTTTGATAGAAAACGGCGGAAACTTATTTGTACTCCTAATATATAAGTCTATGCTTTACACTTTTCACCACGTATTTTTACCAAATGATCCTTTCTTATACCAGGTATGTAAATATGAAATCGGAATTTTTGTATAGAAAATATACGTTTATTATAGGAAAATGATAAAAAATATTTTATTCGAAGTATTGCCCATCGCTAGTTATACATTTTTCCCACCTGTCTGACAATTTGTGGATGCCACGCCAAAAAAACTGTTGCTCTTTTGATGCAAACCAGTCATCGAGCCATTTTCGTACATTTTCGTAAGAAGTGGAGCGCTGCTCAGCAAGTGCGTGTCCCATCGATGCAAATAAGTAGTAATTGGACGGAGCCAAGTCTGGTGAGTAAACCGCATGCGAAAGTATTTCCAAACTAAACGCCTCAATCGTTTCCTGGACCAGTTTTGCTGTGTGTAATGGTGCATTATCATCAAAACAAATCACTTTGTGTTGCCTCTTTTGATATTCTGGACGTTTTTCACGCAAAGCTTGATTCAAATTGATCATTTGTTGTCGGTAGCGTTCAGTATGAACGGTTTCGCCAAGTTTTATCAGTTCATAATAGATCACACCCTTCTGATCCCACCAAACACAGAGCATTGTCTTCCGTCCATAGCGATTTGGGCTTGCAGTCGATGTCGATGTTCGCCTGGAGTTACCCATGATCTTTTACGCTTAGGATTCTCAAAATATATCAGCTTTTCATCGCCAGTCAATTCGATGGAGAAATTACTTTCTTTTGTACCTGGCGGGCAGCATTTCGCAAGTGGTTTTTCGGTTTTTCTGCTATCTTTCATTCAGTTCATGTGGAACCCATTTTCCCATTTTCTGGATCTTTCCCATGGCTTTTAAACGTATGAAGACAGCTTCTTGTGTCACATTTAATTGATCCACGAGTTGTTGTTGCGTTTGAGCGTCATCCTCATCCAACAATGCTTGCAATTCACTGTCTTCAAACTTTTTCGGTGGGCTTCCACGTTCTTCGTTTCTCACGTAAAAATCGCCACGTTTGAATTTTTTAAACCACTCAAAGCACTGTGATTTACCAAGAGCATGCCCACCATAAGCTTCGACAAGCATTCGATGCGATTCTGCAGCAGTTTTCTTCAAATGATAACAGAAAATCAATGCTGTCCGCAAATCGTAGCTTCCAGGCAAAATTCGACATGTTCAACGTTATTACAAACTATGCTGTTGTATGAAACTTGTATTGTTGTGAGTTGAAAATCTTTGTCAGATATCAACAAATAGAAATGGCGCCAATGACGCGGTTTGACAGTAACTACATTGACAGCTAAGGCCATCTATGTGCAAATTCCGGTTTCATATTTACAGACCTGTGGTGCGATTCTGTAACTCGTTATTGGAGTTAACGACAGTTTCGTTATTGTTGCGCAGTTTCTACGGTACACAAAAGCTGCGCAACGATAACGAAAGTGTCGTTAACTCCAATAACGAGTTACAGAATCGCGGTACTGTAGGCATTGAACTATATAACTAACTGGAAGGAGCGCTGTGGTGCGATTCTTTTATTCGTTATTGGAGTTAACGACAGTTTCGTTATCGTTGCGCAGCTTTTCTATGGTATATAAAAGCTGCACAACGATAACGAAAGTGTCGTTAACTCCAATAACGAGTTACAGAATCGCATCACTGGCCTGGTAGGGGCCGCGGCTAGAGAGAGAGAGAGAGTATCCAAATAGTATCTCCGTTTTTGTCTGTCACGTATTACCTGAACTAAAAACGTAAGCTCACATGTCACATCATGTCACTTGCGCTGTGTTACATAGTAAGGAGAGCGTAGTTTAAATTAATATAATTAAAAGGTTGAGTATATATATATGTATGTATATATATGTATATGCAAAAAGATCAGACATGTTTTTGTTTATGTTATAATTATCGTATAAACTTATAATTTGAATATTCTGATAGTTCTTTTAACTTACACATAAGCTATTTTCATTGGCATCTATTTCATCTACGTTTTGATTTTTATTAATTTCACTTTCTCTATAATTATTAATATCTACATGTTTATTTGATAGATCTTGAAGATAATCTCTTTTTGTACCAGCAGCATATTTTTCTTTCAAATATTGTAAAATAATTTGAATACATTTATATATATTTTTAATTAATATATATAACTTAATCGGTTTTAATACTTACACTTAATACATCATTCTGCTGTGAATCTTTATAAATATTATCTTCATATGTATTATCTTCATATGTATTATCTTTATAAGTATCATCTTCATATATATTATTTGCATACATTATATTTCTGTTACCATTATTAGTTACATTCTTTTTGTTTTGTATTATTTTTGCATCATTTGTATCATTTTCATTCGTTATAGTTATGTTATTTTCATTAGGCCATTTATTTGTGGTCATAATATTTCTTGTCATTATATGGGAATCTGCATTTGAAGCTACTACAACTTTATATGAACTTTTATGTTGGATTGTGGAATTATGTCTACTTATATTTAAAACTTCAGGAATTTTATATACATTTTCACTTGTATCTGTAAAACATAACAAATACTATATATATATATATACAGGGTGTCCCATTTTAATATTCTACATCCCTCCTCAAAACCATATAACTTTTGTCTGAAACATTGTTTTTTACAATAAAAATAAAAAAGTTTGGTGTGGAACATTAAAATGGGACACCCTGTATATGTTAAAAACTATTAAATGTATATAATATTATATAAATATTAATATATAAAATATGAATGATATTATATAAAGTTTTCAAATACAACTAATACATGTATACTAGATGTTGATGTTAGAAATATTGTTCACCTGTTATAGCATCACTATCAAAAGTATTTGTTAAGCCATCGACTGAAGGTTTTATAATTTCTCGTACACGGTCCATTATTGTATCTGATTTAAATTCGAAAGGTCCTCCACTTAGTAGTTATAAGATTTTAAGAATATATATTTTTATAATTATGTTTGAAAATCTATTTTAGTGTTTCATTTGCGTCGACTAAACAAAAGTTGTCAATATTAAAATGATTATTTAATTATATTAATTTAGAAATATAAAATATTGGAATAAAAAATCTAGTTACAAAAATTAAATTAATAACAGGTATGTTAAGAAATATAAAGTATAAATATATATATATATTTACCTGTTTTATAAAGCTGCATCATTTCATCTGCAAAAAACTTCCTTGTTTTTTGCTTTAAATTATCCCAACAACTTTTTAAGACTTCTGAACTTCGAAATTCAATTGAACACATGCTATTAAATAATTGTTCTATTATTTTCCAAGTTTGATCTTTGTCTTTGGAGGTTATACCATCGGATCTCTTGTTCTCTATTATATTTTTATATCTGAACACCAAATCTATCAAAATAACTTTTTCTGCTTCTGAAAAATTTACAGCATGTTTGCGTGTTTGCTTGTTTTCTACGTTCATTCTTAATAATAATTAATATTCGCATTATATTCCTGTACTTTGATCACAGCCGGTTAGAATCAACATTGAACTAATCACGTTCTATATACTGGCTGTGTTCCAATATTCCCTGCCAGCACTGAAAATCTATAATATATTAGGTTCTTCGGAAAGTTCGTTTCAAATTTTTGAAATAAATTAAGAGCGCAATATTTTACACAAAGAGGAACTTTATTGAAGCAAATATGTACCGTTTTGTTCAACGACCTTGGCCCATCTTTCAGGAAGCTGCATGATGCCTTTGCTCCAAAATAAAAGTTTCTTATTGGCGAAAAATTTATCAAGATGACTTTTGAGGACTTTCAAAGACTCGAATTTCTTGTCCCGAAAAAAATTTTTTAAAGAAAGAAATAGATAGTAGTCAGATGGGGCAAGGTCGGGAGAATATGGAGGATGAGGAAGAACGTCCCATTCGAAGTCTAACAGCTTATCCTACGGATAAACATTGCGACGTGAGGTCTGGCGTTATCATGATGGAAAACAATTCCACGCCTGTTGGCCAATTCAGGGCGCTTCCGTGCGATGGCAGTCTTCAGTTCGTCCAGTTGAAGGCTGTACTTCGCCGCGTTGATGGTTTCGTTTGGTTGAAGAAGCTCATAATATACCACGCCTTTAAAATCCCACCAGATACTCAGAAGAACCTTTTTCGCGTGAAGCCCCGGCTTGGCCACTGTTTGCGTAGACGCATCGCTGGTTCCCCACGACCTCTTGCGGCTAACATAATTGTATAGGATCCAACTTTCATCGCCTGTTATGATCCTCTTCAAGAACGGTTCTTTTTGGTGCCGTTGAAGCAGCATATCGCAGACGTTCACACGTTCCAGCAATTGCCGTTCATTCATTTCGTGTGGCACCCACACATCCAGTCGACTTGAGAATCCTAGCTTCTTCAGATGGTCATGCACGGTGGAAACAGACTTGTGCAGAGTGTCGGCGAGTTCTCTAACTGTCACTCGAGGATTTTCGTGCACGAGATCCATAAAAAGCGTTTCATCAACCTCCTGAGGCCGGCCTGAGTGAGCTTGATCTTCCATGTTGAAATCGCCAGCTTCGAATCTTCGATACCATTTTCGAACTGTCTGGTGAGTGACGCAGGCATCTCCATATACTGAGAACATCTCATTCAGGGTCTGCGAAGCCGTGAAGCCACGTTTAAAGCAATATAGCATCACATGACGAAAATAGACTTTTTGGTTCCCCATTTTTCAAACTGATTTCTGACGAAATAGTTGCACTTAGGAAGATCTGCGAAGTTTCCTTAGCGGGCTCATAGATCCGGGAATGTTTGTTGACAAACATAAAATCGTTTAGAGCGCCCTCATTCTTACTGATTACATAGAAATGTGGAGCGCGCGAAATTTGAAACGAACTTTCCGAACAACCTAATACTTAACACAAACTATGTATTTTCAATACTGGCAGTGAATTTTGGAACACAGCCTTAATGTTCTTTGAGTTATGACATACAAGTTATATGTTTAGTTAAACTTTCGCTATGTAACGTTGGTAGAAACCTATCAGTACTAAACCAAAGTTTAAAACTAACGAAAGTTTGGCTAAACTGCAGATTAAGGCAAATATGGTAGAAACGGGCCTTAGGCACTTTCGTTATCATTGCGCAACTTTTCTACGATATACAAAAGCTGCGTAACGATAACGAAAGTGTCGTTAACTCCAATAACGAGTTACAGAATCCAGCTGCAGAGCCATTTATTGAATTGAATTGAATAGTACTTTTGTTGCATTTTGAGTGTACCACTTTGCATAAAAAGACGAAAATTTATATTAATTAAAGAAGACATAAAACAATGTAACAAAAATGTATATATGTAAAATAACATATAGAGCGTATTTGTTGAAAAATAAACTAGAAACGTTACATTCTTTGGACATTTATTTTTACATGCACATATAGGTTACATTTATTTTTCATTCTTTATAAAAGTTGTTGTCAATCAAAACTAAGTGAACAGTTATTTTCAAATATCACCACAGATAAAAATCAAGTCGATTTAATAATTTAAGTAAATATTGTATTATGTTAAAACATCGAAATTAATTATTTTAATCGACTTGAGAGGCATTTTTCAAATATTTATCATAATTGCTGAGAAAAAATTAACTACATTGTTAACAGTAAGAAAATGAAAAGAATGGAAGTCGTATGAGACATGAAATAACAAAAGTACCGGTTTGAATCGTTTATAACTTCCGAGATGCAGGCGACGAATATTTATTTTTTTTTAAATATCTACATAACGAAATTTACAACTCAATTTAGTATGCTTTCAAGGTTGTATTGGCACGTATTATATTTTTTAAATGAGAAGCACTTCTTCGAAACTCTTTTCCAGTCGCGCAAGATACATCTTCCGGCATTCCATGTCATCGGCCGGTCTGTTGTATGGCAGCCAAACTGGCTCTCCCACAAAATATCTTTTCGCCTTTACGTAATTCTAAATAAATTATAAAAAAAAGGAACAAATTATATTCATGTGTTCATGTGTGTTTAAAAAATATATATATATATTTCTAAATTATTAATTTTGATAATTTTTCGATTTCTTTGAGAATAAAAAATAACTACAATAAAAATGTCATAAATATCTTATAGAAGCGACATGAATGATTCATAGCAATTTTTAAGAAAGAGAAAATCAAGAGGCACGGTAGTGCCTCGCGCCAAGTTCAAGCGCAACGAAGTTGAAAGGCGCGAGGCACGCCGTGCCTATTATACGCGAAACTGCGAGCTGAAACAAGGTGAGCTATTCATATCTCAGCAATGACTGAACCGATCGACGTTTCTTTAGTCCCAATCGATTCAGCCTTAAAAAATAGAAAGAAAAGTGTCCTAGTGTTTTTCGTGTACATTGTCTCCAAGCATATATATTTTAAGACAAAGTCCAAATTACGGAAAATTTTTATTCAGTAAGAAAGTAAGAAAGAAACGCTAGACCGCCGAGGAGAGGGGATTTGTGCATCTCGTTTTTCCGACACCAGAGGCGTTACGAGCGCGCTGAAGAAGCAAAGAGCAGCGAGTGCGAGTGAGCAAGCGATAGAGAGTAAGAGAGAGAATATTTTTTGCTAGAATACAGGAGGTGAAAATGTGTGACAGAGAGAAAGAGAGCGAGAGCGAGAGAGAGAGAGAAAGAACGAGAGAGAGAGAGAGAGAGAGAGAGAGAGAGAGAGAGAGAGAGAGAGAGAGAGAGAGAGAGAGAGAGAGAGAGAGAACGGGAGAGAGAACGGGAGAGAGAACGGGAGAGAGAACGGGAGAGAGGACGGGAGAGAGAACGCGAGAGAGAACGGGAGAGAGAACGGGAGAGTGAACGGGAGAGAGAACGGGAGAGAGAACGGGAGAGAGAATGGGAGAGAGAACGGGAGAGAGAACGGGAGAGAGAACGTGAGAGAGAACGCGAGAGAGAACGCGAGAGAGAACGGGAGAGAGAACGGGAGAGGGAACGGGAGAGGGAACGGGAGAGAGAACGGGAGAGAGAACGGGAGAGAGAGAGAGAGAGAGAGGGAGAGAGAGAGAGAGAGGGGGGGAGAGAAAACGGGAGAGAGAACGGGAAAGAGAACGGGAGAGAGAACGGGAGAGAGAACGGGAGAGAGAACAGGAGAGAGAACAGGAGAGAGAACGGGAGAGAGAACGGGAGAGAGAATGGGAGAGAGAACGGGAGAGAGAACGGGGGAGAGAACGGGGGAGAGAACGGGAGAAAGAACGGGAGAAAGAACGGGAGAGAGAACAGGAGAGAGAACGGGAGAGAGAACGGGAGAAAGAACGGGAGAGAGAGGGAGAGAGAGAGGGAGGAGGGTGGGAACAGGCGAGAAAGAGAACGAGCGAGAGGGGTGAAAGAGAAAGGCATAAAAAGGTGAGAATGTTGGTATGCGTTGGTATGTTATGACGCACGTCATTTGATTGCCGATCAACTGATGCTGAGCAGACGATGTGATGAGCTATGCCATCGAAAAATCAATACCGGTGTTTATTGACTCGTCGTCCAGGGTGATCGCCCTTCAATTATAAGGACCGCTTCATACAATTTATAAGTGCAGGTATTACGCGCTTTAGCTGAATAATTAACAAGTAATTATAAATTAATAACATTTATATATTAATGATGTATGTACGTGACGTATATATAAAATACAATTAAAACTTATATAAAACTTACCTTTTTAAACAAAAAGGTAAAAAAAAGGCGCCAAGTATAAGCGCAACACGTATTGTGTTATTTTTAGAAGTATCAAACTCAAATTATTTTTTTTAATGTATATATATGTGTACATAAATTTTTACAAGTAAAACTTATAACTATAATAAAACTCTGCAACACTATTCTACTGTACAAAAGAAGTGATATATTAGAACAATAGCGCCAACTGAGAAACCCAACATATCTATACAGTACCGGCCAAAAATATATCACCTTCAGGGTTTTTGACCATAACTTCTTTCACAGTAAAGAAAATAAATTCAAATTTTTACAGCAGATAGCTGGTATCATGTACACTGTGTGTGTAATGTATAAAAAAACTTGACATATACTATGATTTTCAAAGTTATTTATTGATTGTCCCAAAATCGTCCGTTGACAACCTTTGTGTACTCGTTATGTTTATGTATTCTGTCGCTACTTCTACACGGCTGTAAACATTAGTTTAGTATCTTAGAAGATGGCGAAGACTCGTAGTGTTCGAAATGTGGACGAACGACAACGGAAAGCTATCGTAGAGGGTCGCAAACAAGGACGGACGCATAAAGAACTCGCCCAGCAATTTGGCATTTCCAAAAGTCAGCGGTGACCAAGTTGCTTAAGCGTTTAAAGGTTCAGGAAGGTTCTATTAATAAGAAAACACGTGGCCGACCGCGTTGTACTACTTCTCTCGTCGATCGCAACATTTTGCGTACATCTCGTAGCAACCCACATCTCACGGCGCCGGACATTGCTAAAGAAATATTGACTCCAGGACAGTCTAATCCATCTGTACGTACCATACGCCGTCGCCTGCAAGACGCAGGACTACATGGTCGAAGACCTGTGAAGAAGCCATTCATTTCTGCGAAGAATCGGAAGGCGCGAGTAGAGTGGTCCAAAGCACACCTTAACTGGACATCACGGCAATGGTCTGACGTTCCCTGGAGCGACGAAAGTAAGTTTATGCTGTTCGGTAGTGACGGAATAAAGTGGGTTCGTCGTCCTGAAGGCAAACGCTTTGATCCCAAATACCAACTTCCTATAATGAAGCATGGAGGCGGTTCGGTTATAGTGTGGGGTGCTTTTTCCGCAAAAGGAATGGGTCCCCTTCATAAAATCGACGGCATCATGGCTCAAACAGTGTACGTAAACATCCTCCAGAATGTAATGCTTCCATATGCAAAACGTTTCCTTGGTCGCGGTTTCATCTTCCAACAAGACAAGATTCCGAAACATCGAGCAGTTAAAGTGCAGGAGTGGTTCCGACGCCATCGCGTAATTCTCATGGATTGGTCAAGTCAATCGCCCGATCTAAATATTATAGAATCGTTGTGAGAAGAGCTGGAGAGACGTTTGCCAGGAAAGCGAGCTACGAATACGACCCAGAAATTCTCCCAACTTGAAGAAGAATGGAAAAAGATCCCTCAAGCTACAATCGACGCACTCATTGATTCCATGCCCGGACGTTGTCAAGCTGTAATCGATGCAAAAGGCTTTGCTACAAAATACTAGAGTTACTTAATTTAAATTATGAATCTGGTGTTCCTCTGTTGACATTGAACATAGTTATGGCTATTTAAAGTTTACTATTCATTTTCACGTACTTTGGACATTTGAAATAAAGTTATTTTTTTCACAAGTTGTTTATATTATTTGATGAAAAGTACTTTGTTCGGTAAGCTACACCTGTTGTCAAAACATGACAACAGGTGTAGCTTAGTTATGACCTAATAGATATCCATATACTTTAAATCAAGTTATGCTAAAAAATATTAAAGGTGATATATTTTTGGCCGGTACTGTATATATATATGATTATTGTGTACTTAACTTAATATTTTTAGAAATCTCAAATTCAAATTATTTTCTTTTTTAAGATATATATTATAATATATGTACATAAACTTTTAAAAGTAAAAATTGTATCGTGTTATAAAAATTTAACACGTTTGTTAATAGTGTCCAATATTTAAAAAAAAAAATCTTTTTAAAGGTTATGTTATTCAAAATATTCAAGAAAACCTAGCTTACAAGTAACATTTATCATTCTTTATTAGGACACTGAGTTATACTCGTATGGTTATTTTACTTGTTATTGTAACAAATTAATTATTATAACTGCAATTATAAATGCAATAAAAAATATTTAATACAAAAAATCTTGGCGCGGCTGCATCAAAAACTATATCGAACTAAAACTTGTTTAATACATATATGACAGCATTTTTATTATAATAAAATGTACTTGTAAATTCTCTCTATACATATACGGTGTAATGTTTTATTTAAGTTTATATAGTATTATAATAAATTATATACCTTCACTATAGAATATACATATCGAATGTGTATATATTCTACATATTTTGATATTTTTTTATTCAAAGACGTTATTCTTATTATAATTGACGAAATGTCAATGATATATAATTTGACTTTAGAAAACTATATCGAACTAAAACTTGATTAATACATACATGACAGCATTTTTATTATAATAAAGTGTTTTTGTAAATTCTCTTTATACATATACGGTATAATGTTTTATTTAAGTTTATATAGTATTATAATAAATAAATTATAAACCTTCATTATAGAATATATTATAATAAAAATGCTGTCACATATGTATTAAACAAGTTTAGTTCGATATAGTTTTTGGTGCAGCCGCGCCAAGATTTTTTTTATATTTTATTTTGATTTTATTAAATATTTTTTATTGCATTGTTATAATAATTAATTTGTTACAATAACAAGTAAAATAACCATACGAGTATAACTCAGTGTCCTAATAAAGAATGATAAATTTTACTTGTAAGCTAGGTTTTCTTGAATATTTTGAATAACATAACCTTTAAAAAGATATTTTTTTTTAATATTGGACATTATTAACAAACGTGTTAAATTTTTATAACACGATATAATTTTTACTTTTAAAAGTTTATGTTTAAAAAAATAATTTGAATTTGAGATTTCTAAAAATATTAAGTTAAGTATACAATAATTATATATATATATATAGATATGTTAAGTTTCTCAGTTGGCGCTACTGTTCTAATATATCACTTCTTTTGTACAATAGAATAGTGTTGCAGAGTTTTATTATAGTTATAAGTTTTACTTGTAAAAATTTATGTACACATATATATACATTAAAAAAAATAATTTGAGTTTGATACTTCTAAAAATAACACAATACGTGTTGCGCTTATACTTGGCGCCTTTTTTTTACCTTTTTGTTTAAAAAGGTAAGTTTTATATAAGTTTTACTTGTAAATTTATATCTTACAATAAATAAGTTTTACTTGTAAAAATTTATGTACACATATATATACATTAAAAAAAATAATTTGAGTTTGATACTTCTAAAAATAACACAATACGTGTTGCGCTTGTACTTGGCGCCTTTTTTTACCTTTTTGTTTAAAAAGGTAAGTTTTATATAAGTTTTAATTGTATTTTATATATACGTCACGTACATACATCATTAATATATAAATGTTATTAATTTATACTTACTTGTTAATTAATCAGCTAAAGCGCGTAATACCTGCACTTATAAATTGTATGAATATATAATACAATATCTTATACAGTCTTTTTATACTTTTTAAAAGTCGTAAGAAACGGTAATATATTTGTAAACATTAAAATCTTACGTTAGAATTCAGAGTAAAACGATGATAGATTCCGCTCGGTATAATTATCAAATCGCCGGCCTTTACTTCGATTCGAATCCATTGATCATCCTTATCCCGTACGTCGAAGTAACCTGAACCGTCCAGAACCAAACGGATCTCCTCATCGGTGTGAAGATGCTCGGTATAGAAGTTCTTGAGCTAAAACGAACAAATTAAATTTTATAATAAAATAATTGGAAATATTAGAGACTTGTAAATATGTCTGAAAATAGAATTATTTTATGTGGTATAAGATAAAATTAATTATTTCATGTTATCAGAAATGAAGAATCTCTGCGACAAATAAGTTTGAATAATTATTCAAACAATGCTAATTTCCAAGGGACATCCAGAAGATCTCATATATCCTAAGGATCCTCGGAATATCCCCTACAAATTTTTGGTATCTCGAGATCTTTGGAGATTTATGTTGCCTGGATATTGAGTTTAATTGTACATAGTATCATACCTTTTCCTCATAATTTAGTAAGCACTCTTTGGAGCACGTTATCTCATCTTCGTATGTATAAGAGCGGTCCTGTCGTAATTTTGTTAACGTAACGTCTTCTTCATAATTTAAATGATCTACCTGAAAAATTTTGAACAATATGATTCAATAGTTTAAATAAATATTGTTATTTGTGATTAAGTCAAATTAAGAAAATATAAAATAACTTTTCGCGGTTAAAAAAATAGACATTCAACAAGTAATTTCGACGAAGTCGATCGTTAAAGATTATCTCTATTTTATGCTTATTACTGTATTTTAATTATTATTTTTAATAGTATTTATTTATTGTACTATGTTTTATTTATTACTCGTAATATTGCTGTATCTTACTTTTTCATTACTATCTTATTTCCATATAATTGCTATTGTTTTTACATTTGCGGTCTATTAATATTCATCAGTTTACTAAAAAGGACATCTCTGCATCGGTGCAGAAAGCTCATCCGAAAAGAACAATCTTCATGAAAAATTTTAAAAATATGGAAAAATTTAGAAACAGAAAGTGTGTTAAGTAGCTAAAACATGTCAGGAGACACATTACAAAAAAAAAAATCCTTACATAAAATATAGTTCGACACATTTAGCGATCTGCAATTATAGATCTGTTTATTTTTTAAACACTTCTGACTTAATATGACAAGTTGGAATGAGACAAGTACTCTGATGAAAAATTGTCAGATTTTCTTAGAATTTCTCAGATTTTCTGCAAGAATTGGAACATTTTTCACAAAATTTCAAACAAAAATTGAAAAATTTTGAATATTCCTGAAAAATTGTGAAAGTTGTTAAAAAAATCTTGAAACTTCTGAGAAATTTCTAAGATATTCTGAAGAGTTCAGAGAAATTCTGTAAAATTTTGAGAAAATCTGAGAAATTTTTTAAAAAAATTTCTTAAAAATTCTTAAAAATTCTAAGAAATTCTATACTTAAGGAGATCCTGGAGCGGCGACCAAACTCCAACGCGATTGCGCCCTTATCTGAGCGGAACTAATAATGTCGATAATACCGACACTTACAGTTCCGTTATCGACATTTATCGATATGTACACAAAGACACGTTCCGATGTATATTGCGAAAATATACATTGGGTGCGTTCAACAGTTGCACAACTGTTGAGTAATTCGTCAACGTTATTGGTCTGAGTGTAAGGAACAGTAAGGACCAATAATCACTAACCGCTCACTGAGCGGTTTTCTCCACTGAATGCACCCATTATGAAAATATATAGTATACATAATATATATTATAGATCTTCAATATTCGCAATGTATATCGAAATATAGTCTATATATAAAGTAATCATTTAGAACACACATAAAAATCGCAGTGAAAAGTAGAAAGCCTTTTACATTGTATTCTATGTGTTGAGACATGATATCTTGAAGTTTTAGTGTTTTATCGTCCTGTACAAGTATACAAACGATTTAACAGCACATAGATATCTATTTTTGTCGCATACATATTTAGAATACAATTCCATAATATGGTTCACACTGTTTTCGCTGTGTTTCTTTAGGTGCATGTATTCTCAGAGGAATTTGTATGTATTCAACATGCAAATAATATATTTACAAAAGTTGTTTTATGTAAACTATACGTATAATTTATACGTATTCGTTCTTTGGTACGATTCGTTTTTCGAATCGATATAAGTAAAAGGCTAATAAAAAGTATATCATGCAAACTCTTAGCCATATTACATAATCATTTATATATTTGTATAATTTAATATGATATATATAAATTTACAAATATTAATAAAATATATCACGACAACATTATATAAAAGAGAATATAGAATGGGCTTCTCCAACGCCCATTCCCGTGAGAACGCAACCAATATATTTTTTTTCGTCTCCCCGACTTCTGTAAACATTGCATCAAGGCATCTTTTCTGTCGAAGATATTTATTCGAAGTTTTTTTTAAGAATAATTTTTTCTCGCCTTGGAAAAGGCAACAGTCTATTGCCTTCTATAATTTTGTAAAAGTGTTGTCTCATGCATAATACATCCTTGGAGTATTTTTCATCACAAGGATTTCCGCCTAATGTTATAGTTGTAGCGAAAGCTGCAGCATAAATTCCACAAGACGTGGAATCTGGTTGTGTATCAACATTTTCAAAAATGATGTTACTTTCGCTTATTTGCGGATAACGGCGATGAATATAATTTTTCTCTTTAGCTACCAACTTATCGTACATACAGTTAGGTAAACTGTCGTACACGCAAAGTTTGGTGCTATCGAGGAAAATGTATCGCCAATGATCACTGCAATTACCTTCAATGATCTGTAAGCTCTTATTGCTCTGACTAGCTACGATTATATAAGGTAATTCTAAATTAACACACTTTATGTTTCAAATGCAAAAATTTCTCTTACGACGCATAAAAATCGATCCAACGATTTGTCGTTTAACTTGCTGCATCTAAGCAAGACATTTTCTTTCACGAAAGAAATAGGAGCAATCATCATGTCACCCAAAATCATGTCACCCAGAATTTTTTTATGTCTCACCACATCATCTGTTGTTAAATCTCATTTGTCATTTGAGTAACTAACAATGACACAATCGTCATCTTGCTCCAAATCTAGAGAAGCAGTAGTTTGCAAAACATTTGATTTTAATCGCTTACTCTTTTGGATGCTTTCTCTTTCTATATCTCGTCGGTTAGATTTTCGACTAATAAATTTTTTGCATGCTTGTTCTTTAGCTTCCATTATATATCTTGGATCTCTAATTGGCATATGCCTATTATGGCGGTTGTCCAAGATTTTGCAAGAGGAAGCATGTATTCATTATAGAAGCGTGTCAAATAGGGCAGCATTTTATTCTTCCAACGTCAGCAACGTCTTTGTTAATACGTAACGTTTTAAAACCTTTTGGCGTCCATATAACAAAAATGCAGTAATCTCGCTGCGTTATATTCAATGCCCTTGAACCTGATAAAAATATCGGTGATTCCGATTCATTTCATCAGAATTTTTCTATCAAAAATGCCTCTCAATTGAGGCTTTGTCTTTATAGCCTCGTCTGCTGTTAAATGCTCAGCTGACAAAGAACATTTGATTTCGACGAGACCATCTTTTTCAATGAGTCCGTCAGGAGAAGCACCTAAGCATGGATTTTCATCATCAATGAATAATCCGCAAATTTTTATTTCTTTATTCAGCTTTGCGTTCTCTTCGTTTTCACGACCATATTTCATGACTACGGTGTCGATAAACGGAGGAAACAAAATATTTTTTACAGTCCCTGCGCAAGACGTTGTTGGTCTCATGCGGCACACGGTTCCAAAATTGGATGCCGTCAACATTTCGCGTCTCAATGAATGCCATAATTCGGATTCATTTTGACCTCTCATATTGCATTCAACTTTCTCTCTGCCTCTACTATTTTCGAATAACTTTTCCAAATGATTTTTTCGAATAACTTTTCCAAATGATTTTTTCGAAATTGCTCATATACTTCAAATGGAAGATCTGGTTTTTGCGATTGCGGGCCGTAATAACGATCTGCTCCCGACACGCGTTTTAATTTTTTATCTTCCATCTACTAGTCGAGATTCTCTGTTTTTCACAACTTTTATCTGTCATCCTTTTTCCAATTTCTCAACAACGGGAGGGACACTTTTGCACATGTCTTTATGCACTTGCGTTAGAACTTGTTGCGTATATATTACTCCTGCAATTCTGACATTGTAAGAGCCTCGTTCATCAAAATGAATGCGCTTTCCACCGATGTCTTCGCAGATTATCGAATTGAACGATTCTGCACGATTATTTGTTACATTGCATAACAAGCTATCGGAATGAGCTTATAAATCTGAAAGCATCTTCTATTTTCGCTTACAGACCGTACAACTTTAAACATGGTACATCATTTTTCTCCATTTCGTCGCGGTCATCTGTGCATGTACGACCGCGTTCTTTACAACGTTTATGCTCACCATAAATATGGCTAGGAATATTTAAAATATCTTTTTGTATTCCATAACCTTGTAATAATGAGGTCGCCCTTCTTCATTTCGTATAGCGACTACTTTTCTCAATTCTCCTCGCATATTTACAATGTTGTTTTCTACAACATTTCGTATTTGCGCAAAACCACGTTTTCTTTGAATTTTCGGCTGAGTCGTTTGTGATACGATTCTCAGCTTCCTGCACAGATTACGAAGCAAAGATTATGAAGGTGATTTATGCATTCCACTTCCTTTACCACCACCTTTTGCTCGCGATTTGGATTATTATTTATATTTATTAGCTGATTATTATTTATATTTGTTAGCTGATTATCATGCGTAACGTTGTAACGCTTTCGTCGGACGTTTTTTTCGAGCTGCTTATATGTTGCGGCACGCACGAAGTCAGCGCGCAATACCGATTTTTCACTGTTTCCCAAATGCATATACGTATATATCATTGTGTCAGTGACATCATTACGCGACACATTGTACTACTGGAGCAGTAGTATATATCACCGAATATACCAACTCGCACAATATGCATTTGTGTACAGACAGTGGAGAATCGCTGTCATGAATTCGTTTCGTAAGTGTCACTAACACTCTTATCTAACAGTTGTAGCAGTAATAAACATTTACTTCACACCTTATCGGTGGGAAAGTTGCAACTATTGCTAAGAGAGATGCTTTACCATTAAAATGACACTAAACATGACACAAATCGCATATTTTTTAACTGACTACATATTCAATATTAATATTATATATTTATTCAATAATTGCCCGATTTTTGTCGTGTTTGATGTTATTTTAATGATAAAACATCTCATTAAGCCATTGCAATTATTTTAAAACAGGTAAAATGCGAAACGTAAAAGTTGTAATTTTCATGTTAGAAAATATTTAAATGCCTGAGTTCCTTACTACGGACAGATTCCCGACGTTGCAGAAGCGAGAGCGAGAACGAGTAAAGAGGAAGCGAGATGACACTTCCTCGAAAAGTGCCGAAGCTCGCGGCGATCTGTTTACGTATCGCTTTCCATAGTGACATCTCGCTTGCTCTTTACTTGCTCGTTCTCGCTCTCGCTTTCGCGATATCGGGAACCTCTCCGTA